TCCACATGTATTTGTCAATGACTGTATATTAGCGCGAAAAAGAATTTTCAAATTTGACCATGATTCCGTCATTCATATGTGAGAATTGTAATGTTAAGCTAGCTTTTCTATGGCAGTTTTATCAAAATGTACAATGACCACAGAAGCTGAAGAATTTTCGGTATTCCTAATATTCATAAAATTATAAATTCTAAAAAGGTTGTGAGTAATGAAAACGAAATTGATTTGAACAAATTATTTTGTTGCCGCGGAAAGTAATTACAGAATGGGTCAGCTAGAGTGAACAATCCAAATATCTTCTTCAATTGAGATGACATGTAAAACATTTCGCATGCGAGTTTGATTATATCTTGATTACATGAAATGTGAATGCAATTAATGTGCTGTAACAAATATTTCAGAGTTTTCAAGATCATTGATATTTTTCTATATACAGTAGGTGATCCAATTACTAGAAACGCTTCTATAAGATGAATAAACTACATTCAAATAATCAATTTTTTAATGATAGTCTAGCTACATTGGATTCTTATTAAATTTTTATAAAATATCTTATTCGCAAATTATACATGTACTTTTAGCAACAATATAGGGAATAGTATCCGTCACGTAGATAATAAATAAAGACAATAAATCTGACAGTTACATACCTAATAAAAATATATTTATATTTTCGTTAACTCTCAAAATTAAAGTTAAATGTATTGTTCGAAATTAGAGTTATACGTCACAGTCATTTCTAGCAGAATGCATACATGCAAAATATTTTTTTTCATCATCGCAGCTGTAAAGATATTTAGACGGTAATGTTTAAGATGGATCACGCTGTGTATTTAATCATTATTGGAAAATACTTTCAGAAGATCAGTTCATAAGAATATTAAGACTCTGATCACTTTGATTACAGAGAACACAGTTTTGCTACTCATTGAATGGTAGATTCCGAACAAATTGCTAGAAATTAGGTACTGGCGCAAAACTAGGTCAGATCCCGAGTACAAATTTCTCTATTGTAATGGCAAAAGTACATATTTAACCTTCATTAGGGAACAAATTCAGAAGAACAAGTCACGAAAATCTTGGGAAGCCTGTCACATCATTCCGATAGAAAGATGCTATTTATAAAATGAACACGATAGAAACGTCACTAGAAATAGGTACTAACACTAATCGAGATGGCCTACATCCCGGGAACTGATAGATGTAGTAAACATAATCTTTATTCAAAAGAGAGACTTTGTATAGTTTCATCTATACAAAATGACTGACCTACTAGCCACTTCCGATGAACTAAATTGTTAAATCAGAATGTCTGCGACAACACCGTGCGTCTACGAAACCTGCTATTTTATTTGTTATTCCCTTCCGGTTTTCGCAACCAATAAACGAGTCTCATCGACACATGGTTTCATCTATATAAAACGTCTGTGCTATTTTAAAACTGTACCTAGCAAAACGTTTAACATCTTGCGATACGATTTCACCCACGCGTTAACCAGCACTACTGCGTTAATAAGTACCTACACGACAAAGAAGATTTATAGTTTATTACATCTACGTTTACGTAAATTCTAATTTCCAAATATCGACATCAGAAAAATTTAATTTCAAAGGAAGGGAACAGCATCGGCATTCAACAAATTGCACTAAAATCTTCCAAACGAGTTAAACCAAAACATCCCCGAGACCACCCCCAAGGCCCACCAGCGTCCGCACCAAACAGACTACGTCTCGCCTGAGTACAGCAAACAAACGGGGAACCACGAAAAGCGTCGCTAATCACCGGAGCATATTCCGCAGCTTAAACAATGCGCCCCTAACACATGTCGTCGAACCCTCACCATACGTTTAAAAAAAAACTCCTCGAATACCGTTGCACGAGGGGATGACCGCAGCGCGTACCAGCCGACGAAACAGCCAGTAACGAGTAAAGAAACTAAAGGACACCAACCTTGAACGTATCCCAGTAAGAGGAGGCTGCACAGTAGCCAACATTGTACCATGGTACCCATCCTGCAGTGGCACTGGACACTGAATCGTGGCGACCGCCGTCAGAGTATACCTCCTTATCACTAACTTCCGAGTATCACGACCACATTCACGCACCGTGACAGGGCACACGGTTAATCCACTGTGTGTCACGTTCGACGCTCAAACGCTGACTGGACCGACTGACCCGGGAGGATCTGGGCAACGGCGACGATGATAACGGCAATGACAACGGCAGGTCTCGCAACGTGCGTCGAGACCACGCGGCGATGCGTGCTGGTGCACCTTCCGCAAGGACGAACGAAAGCAAACTGAGCCACTATTCGCTATCCGAGTTCGTATCCGTCGGGCCACCCCCCTCTTCCACCTGCCGCCCCCCGAGCCCCTGAACAGCGCCGCCGTACATGCACTCCATATACCGAGGGCTCCCCTCCACAACGAGGGCAGGAGGAGGAGAGAGGAATCGCGCTCGACACTCTCACCCTCTCCCAACCCTCTCTCCCCAAAACCCCACCTGACGCTTCCGACAACCCGTTTGCATCGTCTTCCTCGCTCATTTTTCCATCGGTCGCGATCGTTCCACCTCTTTTCTGTTT